AGTGAAAATGCACCATCGAAAAGCACATCATCATTTGATCACATAAATTCCATGGTAGTGCATTTTACGCTTGGAAAATCTTATGATAATTCTGGGAATACGTTTGTGTTTTGATGAGTTCTACATTGAAAAAGGCATTAAGTACTAACGGAGGTGTACAACATGGGATTGACACAGCTGCTCCCGGCGTAGAGAGCATCCCAGTAACATCACTAACATGGGGTTCCCGCACTGGTTATTCGAACGGTACTGGTATTCTTGGCATAATTTGTCCGATTTGTTCCAACACTTCACGAAGTTTTTTGAAAGCTCTTTCACGCCTTTGGGCTTTTCTGGTTCTTGAGTTATCCATTTTCGCGCCAAAAACTTTCACGGGGCGGTACCTGAAAACCACTTGCACTGAGAGGCTGAATTTGATAAATTTAAATTGTACTTGTGCTGGGAACAGATTGATGACGTTACCGATTGCATCATCAGTGGCAAGCGGAATCTGCTTTAAAAATGAGAATTTTAAAAAAAGTGTTGAAGAGCTGAACTGTTTGAGGTATCACGTATTATGTGTGCAGCAACAGCAACACTGCGATTTCCCGGTCCGATGTACACTCGGCTGATCCATTTAATTACCGCACTGGTCGCATTCCCACCGATGCGTTTCATCCAGACAGGTTATTTTATCGTTAAATTGTTACATAATCCATTTTAATACATAAATTTTCAAAAAAATAGAGGCTACAGCCGGGGAGTAGCGTGTTTCAAAATTTGTGCTGTTGAAGATCGTCACCAACTAAACATTGGCAACTTTGCCAACGAGTGGTTGCTCTTGAAAAGTATCATTTGAGCAATTTTAGAGTGCCTCCGTCTCTTATACAGAGTAAATGTGGAGGGGGTTTTGATTTTTGGCTTATGTGTGAGATTATTCATACTTTTTGGACATTGTCTGTCATTCACTGGCGCTTACGGGACAAAATTCAATTACTTTGATCGCTGAGATATGGTGGTGCGTATACTGTTCAGGATGTATTTGCCGTTTAGACTTTGAAAGTATAAAGCTAGCTAAGGACCGCATCTCCTATGACTGCATTTTTGCATCTTTAGGGTTCACACACTGCTAGACAGAATTTGGTGGTTTTCGTTTCACTTCGACCGTTTTTTCTGTATGTCGAATGGTGGCAAACCGTTATTGTTAGCTGCGCTTTCGCTGAGGGTAGTAGTTAAAGAACGAGGGATGTTGTGGTTTTACGTTTGGTCTTGGGAAATGGATCTTGTAATTTATGGACAACTTCAGTTAGTATCTTTTTATCATTGAGTCTATTAAGATTACTGTGCTCATCAGTGCTCTTTTTATTGTTAAGATTTACTTACTTGGCCAGTGCTAAGTTATTTTTACCGTCCTGGTTTGCTTTCATTTATCTGTTTGTTTTCGCGGTGTTGTGCATAAAT